TCAACCCCTCCACGTGCAAATGTTGGTACACTGCAAGTGACAGATTACTCGATGGAATTTCGCATGGGACAACGACCAGTCGTCCATTTTCTGGGTCAAACCACCAGTTTTTTTTATCCAACTCATTTACATTAGGTCAAGGGGAATTGCCCCACCACTCACAACCCTCTTTCCGTTTTCCAACATTTTTCCATTCAAATCCAATCACAACTCCAATAATTAGAGAGAATTTTTTTTATAAAGAGTTAATCAATTTCTAAATAAAAAGGGAATGCCATTTTTTATCGGAACAATCGACTGGATATTTGGTGGGAGTTCGTCATGCGATGGAGCATTTACTGGAAAAAATGATGAATTTGTGGTGAGAGGAATGTTTTTGTTGGGAATTGATTGAAATGGGAGAAGGGAGAATATTGCAAAGACTGACGTCTCTGTATTCTCTGTATTTCATCTCAGTCTACCACGATTTTTAACTCACCTGGATATTGGTATCGCGATCACGAGTGGAAATTGTATATTTCTACCCCCGCCTGTAGAATATTGGCGATCCCATCACGTCTGACGAGACGTGGGTATTTTTACTTAAGAAAATCCTCCGTTGAATTTTTCTCATTTTTTCCTGAATGCTTCTTTGCATTTGAATGCATGAGACTCGTAACGTCACCCATAATATTATTCTTTAATGATACCATTATTCTGCGAACATTAATGAATAAAAAAACAGCATCTGCCGTCAACAATTATTATCTCAATTTTATTGACGAAATGATTATCTCCGAGTGGCAAAAAAATACGGGAAGGACGGAGAAGGTTAGCGATCGTTTTATTGTCTTTCATCAGCGTTTTCTTAACGACTGCTCTACAGCATGCAATTTATCTCATGAAAGATAATAATTAAACCACAAAAACCTCAAAAGAAGGCAGACAAAAAGAATGAAAAAAAGATAATCTTTGGTGCTACAGGATGAAATTACCAGAGGAATGATCAAAAAATCATATATTCTTTTCCAATATAAAACAATATTTTACAACTACACCTTAAACAAATTAGTACAAAATTTTCCACCGGCTGACACTTGTCACCGTCTCATCAGAGACTTCCACCACAACTCCAGTCACTCCTCGATCCTCACGTCATATTCCAGACGAATCGCGTACCAAAGACCAAAGTAAAAATCCTGAGGAGCCATTTCCCTCACCTTTTCACCGAATTCTGACTCCTCTGCATTCTCCTCTTGGCTTCTAGCTTCATCTTCGCCTCAATCCTCTTCCTCTCGATCTCCTCAGGTGTACAGAGAGTCTGACTCCTAGCAGATCCACTCGCCACAACATTGCTACCATCGTCTCCTACCCTTAATCTGTCAAAATTGTTAATTCCACAGTTACTGTTTTCCTTGAAATAATTTGGTCGAGCAATAGCAGACTGAGTCCTTCTCAAATCCGTCAGAGTACTTACGGATGAGCTTGTCTTACCGCCTCTAGACCCCACCCCAATCCCCGAACAACTAGCCATCGAACTTAATCTACTAGATGTATCAAAACTGGAGTCTGAACGATTTCTAGACTTGAAAAATCTCCGATCACTTCCGTAAGGCATTTGACTGGACCTCTGAATTCCATCTGATGTACCCTGGACTGGGGCCCTCCCCTGGAAGCCCCTCCCCAGTCCCCTGGTATCAGTCTCTGCTCTCGAATTAAAATTACCACCTCTTGCCTCTGATTTCTCCAATTTCCCAAGTTTCCCGACTTTTTCCGATTTTCCTGCTGTCGTGTCCTCGTATTTAGACGCCTGTGCACAGGCAGCTTTCACCAGATCATCGAAGGAATCATCAGGGAAGTCGATATCATAGAGATCAAAGAGCTCAGAGGCCTTGAACTCCTGTGAAACTTCTTGATTAATCCTCGAATTTTTATCAATGGGCTCTGACTTGTGCTTCTTGAACCTTGAGGGAGTGGACACTGGAGATTTTCTGACATCTGCAAGAGGAACTTCCTTTGGTGGACCGATGTTGAGCTTCGCCTCGATCTCCTGGGAGCACCTGAGCATCGTTTCCTCGTTGATGGAGTCGTTGAAGAGGTCCTCCAGGCTCTCCCTATCCTTCTCACCACTCTGATTAACTGGCGGATCCTCCAGGATATCTGATATTATTATCACATCGTCCTCCAGGTCGTCGTCGTCGAAAATTATCTCATCGGATATTCCGTTCAGCTCAACGTTCTCTGCCTCGTGGGATTCCCTCGTCTCGATCTGAGCTGTCAACGCCAGGAACTCGTTCTTCCACTTGTCGATGCTCGAGCTATCCTCTTTTTTTATTATTCGTTTTTTGAAGGGCTTGTAGACCAAGGGGGAATTGGAGGTTCGCTTCTTGTGGACGATTCTAGTACGTTTTGGGGTGCTCGAAGACTCTGGCCTCGATTTTTGTTTTGTTTTTGTCTGGGGACTCTGCCAGTCCCATGCCACCTCGTTGTTCGTGTCCTGGGTCAGGAGGATCGGCGAGGAACGGGCTTCCTGGGTCTGGGACTCTTGAGACACCGTCTGCGGGGCTTTTTGACGCTTTGGTGTACTCTCCTCTGAACAACGGTCTTGCTTTTTTTCTGCTAGCAATCCACTCTCTGAAGAAGACGTTCATTGTTAGAGAAATTATAATTAGTGGATGGAAAATAATTGAATTGATTTAGGGGATTGCCTCATTTTTTAATCCATGATTTACCTTCGATTCGAATCCTCCTGCCCATCATCAACGAATTCTTAATATTTATATTCATCTTTGTATGATGGAATCTCGAAGCTGGTTTTTTTCTCTAGGTTAGTTCAAACTTATCTCTCGAAATTTCAGAGATTCTTCTCTCATTCTTCATTCACAACTCGACAGTTTACGAAAATCTATCACCAGGTGGTTGAATAGTGTGAGGACTGCTTGTAAAACACTTTTTTCTTATTTATTTATGCGAGGATTGACACTGGATAAACAATTTATAACTGTCAGTGACGCAATGAGCTGTCGATTCTGTTTTATCTGTTGAGGGGATGGAGATTTCCTGATCTCCAGTCTCTCCAGAGAGAAGACATAACCTCAAAATTATAATCAAAAGTGAACAAATGAAGTGAAGTGACGGATAAATTAATAAAAAATCAGTGGAATTAATCGAATTAGAATTTTTAAAATGAAGATAGAATTGTACAACCAAATCGTTGCAGATATAACGAATTTCAAAGGACTGAGCAGAGACTGCGCTTACATGTTGATACATAAATACACAGAGTAAGAATAATTATAAATAATTAACAATAATGAGCAGTGATTCTTTCACCAAAGTTGACATTAAAATCTCAACATCGTCTTTCAAAAGATGGCAATTTCCCACTTATCAAGAAATAAAATATTTGCAGTGTCCCCCCAACAGCAATTCACGGTATCGTGTCCTCAGAAATGCAGCTGAGGGCAATGCGGTGCCGAGGAAGACTGCATTCCTCGCAAATGGATTACTTAAAGATGTACAGAAAGGAGTGTAAAGATCCCAAAAATCCCCCAGGTGTAATTCTGCGAATGGCTGTGGCACGTAGTTTTGGCCCAGCTCTTTTAGCACGTGTAATCCTGGAGAAGCACCTCCTGGAGTCGAATCCCCTGATCACACGAACAGATGTCTCACAGTATATGAAAGACACAACGAAAATAGAGGATCCCAGACTGGCACACGAGATCTACCTCTGTATTTTGTACGACGACAGAAATGGAATGATATCAGACACCTTCTGCAACTCCATCGGGTACGAGTACGAATTCAAATTGCAGGAATTCCTGAAGGAGAGGAATATCCCGTACCTGACGGAGGATAAGCTGAAGCAGAATGGATACGATAAGACTCCAGATGTCAAACTGGAGCTTCCTATCGCTGTTGATGGATTTATCGTCAATTGGATCGAGTCTAAGGCGCGATTTGGCACTCCAATGATCCACCGGACCCACTGCAAGGAGCAGTACCTCAGCTACTGGAACAGATTTGGCCCTGGACTCGTTATCTACTGGTTTGGATTTGTCGACGACATCGTGGAGCCTACAGAGAACAGATTCATCATTCTGGATCATTTTCCAGAGAATATTACGTACATGGATCCTCTGGCTGACGTGGATTATAAATTCGAAGAGGATTAATCCTCGGTTTTATTTCTTTTTATTGATTATAAACAATTGTATAGTTTGAATGATTCTTGACAGTTTTTATCGTAAAATGGACTTGTAGTGCTCTAATAAAAATTCTACAATACTTCGCAGGTGTTATTTTACTTATTATTTTTTTGTCATGACAACGAATTGATTGGTCGAAGCCACAGAACTTCCCCATAAGTCTGAAATCCCCTCTATTTTATTCCCCATTTAATTGTCGAAAGTATGAGTGAAGGAATTAATATTCCAAGGCAAGAGTCTGAGGTTATTCTGGAAGAAATGGAGAAAATAGAAAAACTTGACGCGTCAATTCGTGAATTAGAGCTACAAAGAAAGGTATGACTGATTTTTTCTGGTGAGAGGAGAGATCAGGAATATTTATTTCGATTACAGAAAGGAAACGAGGAGCTCTGCAGAGAGCAATCACGGAATCGTGAGAGATTGAGGGATATGTTATTATCAGGTCCGTCAGAATCAGAATTTCTGTCCTCAAGTACAAGAAAATTTCTCGATTTACACGAGAATAAAATTGAGGCAGACCCTGAAGACGATTGTGAAGAACACATCGACATGACGGACGAAGAAAAAAAAAGAATCGAAGACTTGCTGAATCGCCAGGATTCCCCTCATAACCCAGAGTCAAGTCCCTATTTCATCAACGAGGACATGCAAAATATATTGAACAAACATTACAAAGACGAATCCATTGAATAGAAAAATTATAAGACTACAAATTCTTGTCTTTTTTCTTTTTGTCGGAGATCGTGTATTTGTCGTAGCTCTTGGTGGGATCAAAGGGTTCCCATCGGCTAGCTGGGAAAATATGTTTATTCCTTTCGTACCAAGACCTGAAACATAAACGAGAAATTCAATCAAAATCACTGATTTTTGATAATTTTTCAATCGATGAAGGGAAAGAAATGATTCTTCACTTGCCTCAACAAGACTTTACCAGCATGGGACTCCTCTGTCTCCACCGAGGCGTCGTGCACCATCCTGATATCATCGTGAACGTCAAAAGTGAAGAGAGGGCCACTCTTGCCCCTCGCTTTCGTAACGATGAAGTCGTAGAACGTGTAGTGATGAGGCAGAATCAAGTCCTCCTTGACGTACATCAGTTGATCAGCCATGACTGTCTTGAGTTCACTGAACTCTCGTCTGAGAACCTCCAGACACCGTTGGAGAAGCTGATAGATCGAGTTACCTGCCAACAGTGCGAACTAGTGCCCGTTAGTGACGTATTCTATTACTGGAATACCCGAAAACTATTGATTTTAGAAAAAAATGTCAAAAGACATTTCTTCTCGAGAATTTAATCAGCTACAAAAAAGTCCTTCCAACCTTCCCCGATAAGGCCACAGATTCCGAGATAAAACGATAAATAGTAGGAGAAAAATCTTAAGGTCGAGTTATCTCGTATAATTGTCAGCTAAACAATAATAAACCTTTACCTTTCTTCATGGTGACACTTCTCCTGTGTCCAGAGCCATCCCAGTAGCTGAAAGTGATCTCGATTTCCTCCTCCTTGAGTGCATTCTGCTTCATAGCCCATTCCTGCCTCAACTCCTCTCTCAATTTGTTTTCCTCCTCCTCTCTCTCCCTGTCCCTCAGGAAACTCGTGTCCACGTGTGGATTTTTCTTGATTTTCTTGACAGCTGGGACTCTCTCATCCTCAGAATCATCCCCAGTGATCTCTTCATCTTCTAGATTGAAAGACAGTGCCTGAATTTGCTTCTTCTGTTTATTTTTCTCTGCCTGTTTGGCTGCAAGTGCTCTTTCCTTCTCCTGCTCCTTCTCTTTCTCCTTTTGCGCTAATTTTCGCTCTCGTTCTTTGACAATATTCTCCTGTTTGGCTTTCATCTCATTCAGGGTCACCAGACCTATCGTCGAGGTTTTCAATTGCTGCTCCACTGCATTGTAATGAGTGGCAAATTTATTCTCGATGTTGTGAATTTTCAAGTCATCCTCTATTTTCTTTTTACGGAGTTCTATTTCCTGTTGGGCAATTTCTCGCTTCTTCATCAGCTGCATTGCTCTTCCAGCCTCGCTGGCTGCCCCTTTGTAGTGCGCCATTGTTTATTTATTTATTATGAATCGAATTTTTAATTAATTCCAGATTTTTCTCCTTTTGCACCCGGAATTCAGGGGCTTCCGGTAATCCTTTATTTTTTTAATTCCAGTAGGAAATTGATATTTGTTGATGGGAATATAACCTTCACATCCAGGAGTGTATAATGGCAGGAAAATATTTTTTTTTCCTTCAGTTTTTGCACTTTCGCGGTGGTTCACTGTCTGTTGGTTTCGCGAAATAATTGAACACTTGATTGCAATGCAAAATTGTTATTTAAGTCGACAAAACGAGGAAAATATCGTAAAAACCCCGTAAATGTCAAACAGCGCGAACAGTCCTATTTTTTTTTTGTTCATGCGCCGCTTTTTTGCGCAGGGGGCAGGATGGCGGCCGAGCTGTTGCAGCGGGATTTCGGTTTGGCGTTCGGCGTAGGTGTTTTCGGGAAAAAAAGGGTAAAATTATCAAATAAATTACAATTAACGGTTACATAATGAAATAATAAGAGCCAGGAACAATTTTATCATGAATTTGGCGATGATTTTGCGAAAATACGAGCATAAAGCACAATTGAATTTCAGACAGCCAGAAATTTTCGTTGCTCCCCCACAAAATTCTATTTTGAGATATAAAATGCCGCCAGCTATAGAATTCTTGAAAAAAATCCTGCAGAATTAATTTATTCATGATTTAATGAGACAAGTCAATCAATTTGTTGCCAAAAATCAATAAATTTGCTGACTTTGCCACTAGTTTTCTTTGTTCCCGCGTGAACTCTCTGCGCCGCATCCACGCGCATGTTCCGTAATGGCCGCCGGCTTGTGGCAGCAGAATTTCTTTGTGGCGTTCGGTGCAGGTGTTTTTCGGGAAAAAAACGGTAAAATTATCAAATAAATTATAAATAACGGTTGCATAACGGAATAATAAGAGCCACGAACAATTCTATCATAAATTTGGCGATGATTTTGCGGAAATACGGGCATAAAACAATTAATTTTCCGACCGCCAGAAATTTTCATTCCACAAAATTCTCTCTTGAAATACAAAATGCCACCATGCTATAAACTTCTTGAGAAAAATCCTGCACAATTAGTTTATTCATGATTTCATCACACGAGTCAATCAATTTATTGCCAAAAATCGATAATTTTGCCACTAGTTGCATTTATTCCCCCGTGAACTCTCAGAGCAACATTTTCGCGCAGGCTATAAAATGGCGGCCAACCTGTGGCAATTAATTGCTTGTATTTTCGGCAAAAAAACACTAAAACCATCAAATAAATTATAAATAATGGGTGTACAAAGGAATAACAATGCCCAACAACATTTCCATTATAAATCTATCTTGCAAATTATACAAGTCATATAAAAACAGTGAAATTTCAATCGGTAAAAAACATTTTGCAGGGAGTGACTTCCTTGTGGAGTTGCAAGATGGCGCCTATAGTGAATGTTTGGACATAATATCAAAAACATTAATTTATTTAATTATTAAAGAGACGAGTACATTAATTTTTGGTGTTTCGTGAATTCATGATAAATTGACTGGAGTGGGGAGTAAATATGGCTCATACCAATGAGTCATGACCAAGTGACTCGTGTGTGTCGAACTGCTCCGGGGTTTTGTTATTGTTGTGTCGTTACCGACGTCTTCATAAATCGTTGAGAGGTCGGTCTGTGCGTGAATCGGGAGTGTTTTTGTGTACTTTTAAAATAAAATTCACGGATTTGAAAAGTCGCGATCGAAGTGTAAAAACGTGATAATGGGGGGAAAGTGTGATTTATCGTTGAAATTAGTGTTTGTGAAAAGTGCAAAGGACTCTGAACGTGAGAAAATCAAGGACTTCTGGGACTTCGTTGGACATCACCAGGAGTTGCAGCCGTATTTCCCGCCGACCGGTGAGTCCCAAAACTTTGATTAAACAATTATTTGTCGTTGATTTCGTTGGTGAAAATTAGAAACGAAGAGGGAAAATTTCGGGGCGAGGAAATCCACTCAGACGGAGGGTTTTGAGGTTGGATCAGAGTCCGAGGCTTCGAATGTTCCTGGAGATCGTGTCCTTCAAAGGACTCCACTGTTTGTCCCTCCTAAATGTGGAAGTCGCATGTTTGGGTAATAATTCGTATGAATGACTGTTTTCCAATCGTTCTCCATCGATTCTCTATCTGAAATTCCAAATTACAACCATTTAAAGATCCACGTCTCTCAAACTAGCGGATGAGGTTGAAGAGACTTATCAAGATCTCAACAATGAACTGATGGCCTTCGAAAAACGTAAACAAATAGAAGAAATTTCTCGAGTCCAAGACATAGATGAAGAATCCTGGGGTGAAGCCACTTCCGAAGACTTTTCCAATCAATAATTTTCTCTATTTCGATTTCAAATCCATTCAATTGAAAAAACAACAGGTCCTTTCAAAGTCTTAAAAAATCTTTCTTCCGGTATTATTCTAGTTAAAATAGATATTCTTGGTCTCAAGACTCATAATAATTGCCACAATAATCTGGAATTTCCCTCGGGATTAAACATACATTAAGACTTTTCCAATCAATAATTTTCTCTATTTCAATTTCAAATCCATTCAATTGAAAAAACAATAGGTCCTTTCAAAGTCTTAAAAAGTCTTTCTTCCGGTCTTATTCTAGTTAAAATAGATATTCTTGGTCTCAAGACTCATAATAATTGCCACAATAATCTCGAATTTCCCTCGGGATTAAACATTAATTCGTCCTAATAGGATTAACAATGAAGGATTAATAAAAATGGATAAAATAAAAAATGGTGAAGTGGCCTCGTGTAAACCACCGATTACGCAATTACTGACAGTTGGCGTTGGTGGTTAACACCGAGTCATCTGACTCTGTTGCATATTCGTTTCGGGGTGTATCCTAACGCGGTAAAAGGTAAATCGAGATCGTGGTTTATCATCTATAACGAGGTTAGGGTTATCTAGCCCGATGGAGGCTCGAGGGATTGGATATCGAATATCGCGTAATATTTAGTGGAAGGTTTCAACTAGTTCATGGTAGCAAGGTGCCTTTTGTAACGAGACAAATCCGTTAGATATTCATTATTGACGGTAAATTAATTACAATTTATCAATAATAACTATGAAAATTGGTATTGGCTGTGACCATAAGGTTACCTACAGGGACGGTGTCCGATCACCCGTTAATAAGGAAGCTCGATTGATCCTGAAGATAACAGAATCGACGTTGTTCCACTGTTGCTATAGGGTATGGTCTTATTTTCGTTTGAAATAAACCAAAAGAACATTTTAAATACGGTGTATACCGAAAAATTTGAGGGGACGACGTCGTGAATACGTCGTAACGAATTTGTTTCTCTGACCAATGAGCCAGAAACTGTACCCCCGGCATCAACTCACTTTTTTTCTTTTTATCTTTACCTCCGTTCCCTCGACGAGCGCCTTTTTTTCTTCGCCCTAGAATTTTTTTATCAAATGCTCCAACTGGTCGACTCCCTTTTGTGGAAGGAATCATTGTTTTAGTCATTTATTATAGGCTTGAGTGGACGATTTTCTTCTGAAGTTGAATCGATTTTCGGTAATCAGTCGTCAATTTCGTGTGTATTTGGCCTCTAGATCATGATAGAACTCTCAATAGATGAAAAATGTGGTGATAAAAACATTTTTAAGATATCCCCCTTGGAGTAGATCTAGGATTTTTGGGAGAGTTTTATTGGAAAATGGAAAATCGGAAAATATTTTCGAAATATCGCCATTTTAATGGCTCGTTGTGGAAGTTTATTATGAACGTAGGGCATCTCGTGTTTCTGGGGGGATTCACCAACAATACCCGCAGACAAATGAGCATCCCACCACCCCATTGTTCGTCCAGCTCCTTCTGATAAATATACAAAACAGTGGTTGTTGTTATGGGGTGCCCTCGAAAGTAAGAGAGAAAATATTCGTGTCTGGGGGGTCCTCGATCAACCTGATGCGGGCCAACGCCGATTAAGCCGTCGTTGCTTCGTCGAATTTACGTCAGGTTACTTGTTTCTCAGTTATTTTTTTGTCCTATCGGTTTTCAATAGGATCCTCTTCCCCAATTGGAGGGGATGCATCACCATTGTCCTCACTAAAATTGTTTGGAGACACTGTTGCAGCTATTGTTTCACCGACAAATACAATTTTTCGTGTAAAATCAATTCTTCTTGATTCTCACAGGCAAATCAATTTCAGAAACTTCATTTCCCGGATTAGTAAGCGAGTAAAGGATTGAAAATTTGAAAATTTGGTTTCATTCAGGAGAATTTTTTAGAGTCGTGTGGCTTCTTCTTCTGGAGATAAAAACTCCATTTCCTTTTCTCTGCGATGCAGTACATTTTTGGGCTTTTTTTTTCTTGGAGTAAATTTCCAGTCATCTCGTGATGGATATTGAAGTGAAAAAAAGATGATAGCTGTTCGGGAGCGGTGCCAAATTAACCAAGATTTATGGCCAAAAGCGAGAAGACCTGATGTTCCATTCTATTAACGTCGTATTATACTCGCACCGTAAAATTACATCGCCAACTGGTAATACGTTCCGTTTAGAGCCCAATCGCGTGTTTTCGATTCAATACGTTAGACATTTACTCGCACAGCGGTTTACGCTTCCGTTTATCTCTTTGCATTTGAATTTTTATTGGCAACTATTGAAGAAAAAATTGGGCTACAGCAAAATGTCAGTGTGTCTGTTGAAAAAAAATTCATGAAATAGCAATTCTCATCGAAAATTTTGATAATGCAGCCAATTATGCTATTATTGATTTTGAAATGAAAATATTCGGGACAAATTGACTATTTGGTGATGAAATATTGATAATGATTTAGGATTGGGATGTTAAAAAAATTATTCCAGACATCCTCACTTCCAAGAAGACACATTTGTTTCTAAACGGTCTAGCGACTTTATAATTTCATTACGGGTTCTCGGGTTTGTGTGCCTTGCCCCCAATATAAACCGGGGTCCACCTTATTTCTCAGAGCCGTAGACCATCTGGCACCATCTTCAACGTTCATCTTGATCGGTCGATTGGAACCGATCGATCGATCGCATTTTTTAAACATCTACCCCGTCGACATCACCATACGCATCTCACATTTAGCACTGAGAAACCGTCTACCAAGTGCCGTTTTGATCCTCAAAAAAAAATCCACCTATCAACCCCCTCGCTTCCCCATCCCCCTCCATTCACCCCCTCGCAACCTTGTAATTTACTTAATTTTCATTCACATCATGTCGTAAATTCACAAGGAGATACTGCGCGCTACGTTTTTATCTTAATTATGTTTTTATTTAGTTTATTTTTGGGTGAACAAATAGGCCAATAATGTTATGAGATTGTGAG